AGTCCCAGTTGGCTCATCCCTGCTGGGAAGATCATTAACTGAGCCACTGGCAGCTTCAGTTGTCCACGGACAAAGGGACAAGGATGCTGACAGAGGGCTGACCTCCTAAAGGAGAAGTGTGGGAAAACCAGACCAGCATCTGGACCCTACACAGGGACAAGGTCCCCTGGTTAACTAGAGGTGCTGTGCTGCATCAGGACGTCCACAGAGGTGAGAGGGACAACTAAGAATCACAGAATCACAGAATCGCTCGGTTGGAAAAGCCCTCTGAGCTCATCATGTCCAACCGTTCCTGTCTACCCCCTAAACCATATCCCTAAGTACCTCATCTACCCGCTCTTTAAACACATCCAGGGATGGTGACTCCACCACCTCCCTGGGCAGCCTGTGCCAGCTTCTGACGACCCTCTCAGTAAAGAACTTCCTCCTTATCTCTAACCTGAACCTCCCTTGGCACAGCTTGGTGCCGTTTCCCCTTGTTCTATCCCCCATCACCTGGGAGAAGAGACCAGCACCCACCTCTCCACAACCTCCCTTGAGGCAGTTGGAGGTGGGGATGAGGTCTCCCCTCAGCCTTCTCTTCTCCAGGCTAAACAACCCCAGTTCCCTCAGCCGCTCCTCATCAGGCTTGTTCTCCAGAGCCCTCCCCATCCTTGTGGCTCTTCTCTGAACACGCTCCAGAATCTCAACATCCTTCTTCTAGTGAGGGGCCCAGAACTGAACACAGCACTCGAGGTGCGGCCTCACCAGTGCCGAGTCCAGGGGGATGATCACCTCCCTGGCCCTGCTGGTCACACTGTTTTTAATACAGGCCAAGATGCCATTGGCTTTTCTGGCCCCGTGGGCACAATGCTGGCTCATGTTAAGCCGAACACACAGAGCTGGGCAGCTTCAGCCAACCTGGAGATGAGCTCCCCTGCCCACCCACACTGCAGACACCCCAAGGGATCGCTCTCCCCCAGCCTGACCTTGCGAGAGACCTGTACAAACGCCTCCCCTTCTCAGGGTGCTTTTGGTTCTTCCCGCTTTCCACTGATTTATCCCATTCATTACTAAAGCACACTGGGGGAGGACATAACTGTCTGCTGCACAGGAGGTATCCAGCACGACTGCAGGAAAGCTTCTGCCCCAGCACTTTGTGGGCAGTGCCCGTGTGGTGGGGGTCTGATCACAGCAATCGCTGCCAGATGGCAGGGGGTATGCAGAGAGGTGAAGCCATTTGTTTGTTTTTTAGCATCCAGAGCTGAAATTGCAAATGTAATGTGCTGCCTGCTGGGCTGCAGATGGGTACAAGGACAGAGCCCTTGGAGCTCCTGTGGTCACCTAACAGGAACAACCCAAGCCAGTGTCATTTGAACTACATCTGCCTGATGTAATCTTCCCTGCACGAACTTTGGGTGGTCCCCCACCATCAGGCCTTCAACACTGCAGCATCATATGGAGGAGCTGCAAGAGTTACAGCAGAATAACCCAGATCTTACACTTCAAGATGTCCAGCAGAGGGCTCAGAGGCAAGCCCGTCTTCATTCAGTGCTTACCAACCTGCTGGATGCACTGCTTTTGGAAAGTCTATGGTGTTTGCTACTGATACAGGGCTGACTAAACAGGTGACCTAACCTGGCAAATAGCACACACAAGAAAACAACGGATGCAAAAGCGTAATAACAAAATGTAAAGCCAAGCTGCTTAAGCCAAACTTGATACTCCTCAATGTGTGACCCTGATGAAGTCAGCCCATCGAATGGTGGGATGGTGGGGTAGAGCAGCCTGGGAGAGGCTTAGAAATGAATGGGGAGAGCTGACAGCCATCAGGGGCAGGTATTTAAAAACAAAACACAACACGACAATGTAAGATGACATGCGATGCGCCGCAGGCAGGCGTTTCTGGGACAGCCAACAACTGGATTGCAAAATCCTTCCCCACCCAGCAAACCTGGAGCTGCCCATTGCTACCAGGGCCACCCCGTTTGTCTCTCCCCTGAAAACGCATCGAGATGTTTAGGAGCAGCAGCGATGCTCCCACCTCACCAAGACAAAGAGGGTTTTGTGGTGTCCTGTGGGTAAACACCCTTCTGCCTAAGCATAAAACCATCTGGAAACTGCAAGGAGCAAAGGAAGCAAGTGGAGCTTTTGCGATCCCAGAGCAGAGAGAGGGTGGTGGGGCAGCCCCAGAGCCCTACATACCTGCAGCGTCTCTGTGTCCAGTTCTTGCCTCTTTAACTCCAGCTGTGTCAACTGCAATAACTCTGTTTCTATTAATTTAATCTAAACAGAAGATGAAACATTTTTTACTGACATTTGAAATGACTTTAATTTATGCTCTTCTAAAATGAGGTCTAACTGCTGCCCTGGGAGGGATGGCACTGCAGAGCCACCAGAAGTCTGGGGAACTGCTAATGCCCTTCCATGATGCATGCTCTTAGGGTTGCTCTTCATCTTTTGCCTGAGGAGCTGTGTTCTCCACTCTCTAATTGTCTCCTAAACTAAACACCTTCCATCCAAGTCTGGAAGCGCACTGCAATCAGTTTGTTCAGCCAAACCTTTCACAGCCACTCTAGAAAGCAGCAACCGATTGTCAAAGTCCTCCTTGCGCCGCCGCTCAAACTGCAGATTAACTGGGGCAGGGTCCTGGTTTCTAGATGCTCCAGCAAAATCCCATACTGATACGTGCTCTTTCGGGTGGGCAACTGAGACACAGAGAGGTGAAGTGAGTTGCCCAAGATCCCCCAGCAAAGCCAAGATGAGAGCCCAGCTCACCTATCTGCCAGGCCATCTACCATCCCCAGGCCACGCTGCCTA